TCCTTTTAAAGGCCGGGGATTAAAATGGCAGGTAATGATGACGAAGGTTTGCTCACATTTTAAAAAGCAAACACACCTTTGAACAACACCGAGGTGAAAGGTAGCAGTGTCCTCCCGGCTCAACGTTTCAGTACCTCGAACCTTTTTTTTTTTTTTTTAAACGAAAGCACGTTTCATAGCGACCTCCTTAAGAAGTTTACACTGAAAGAGGCTGTTTTTGAAAAGCCGGAGCCCTTCGGGCTGAATCCCATATGTTTTCCTTGGCAGGCGGGAGCTGTCTGCTCGGGATGTTGAACCGACATCCCTTTCTTTCTTTCTTTCTTTCTTTCTTTCTGAGGGGGTGCGTTCAGGTACCGACCGGGGCGAAGCCTCTCTCCGACACCTGCGCCCCCCCCCGAAACCCAACAAGCCGCCAGAAAAGCTCCGGAGCCACTGCAGATGGCAGAGAGGCCTTTTGAGTTATTCAGCAATGTGAAAGTGTTTTTCTTTTAAAGCCAGTTGTTGCGCCACTTTTCTTTCCTACACTGTTCATGGGTTTGTTGCCAGATATTCGTCCCTGAGGCATTTCCAACTTTTCTAACTCGTTTTCTAACTCGCAGACTTCCCTCCCTGAGACAGGGACCGAGGTGTGTGTTGTGAAAGAGATCCCTGGATGATAAGTGCTGAGTAGTTTGCATCAGGGTGACGTGACGCGTGAATGCTGCACATGCGGGTCCGTTCAGACAAACGCACTCTACGCTTTGTTCTACACATTCTTCTTCTTTTAATGCGGTCGGCAGGCTGCATTTGTTGAAGTTCTCCCGAGGTCTTAACAGGAATCCGTAAATCAAAGGCTCTGCTCCGCAACAAGTCCTTTTAATTCCCACCGTCCAATGAATCAATTAGTGATCGCGAACCTTTGGCCTCCTCAGCGGCTTTAGAAAACGCCGGTAAGTAGATCTTATGTTGGAGTTGATCTTCTGAAAGCTGGGAACCTGAAGACTCATGAATCTTTGAACAGCAGCAGGGTGGAAGTGTCCTTCAACAACAACGGCCCTTTTTTAATACTAGTCAGCCTCCTGGTTTCACTTCTATTAGGATATTTCACTTCCTGTGAGCCTTGCATCTCATAGATGATTGCATGATTGCATCACGTCACTCCCGGTAGAGGAGCCCCTCTCGGGAGTCCTCATTTATTATTCATCCAGCATCCGTCCAAATGTGCTCCCACTGTGTGACAATGAGAGCAGAATCCTACTTCGCTGCACTCAGTTGTTTCTCTCCTTTATTTATTCGTCTGCAGCAGCAGATGCTCCCAGAGAGCTGCAGCGGCGTCGACCTTTTGGTCCCGCAGCCGGTGGATTAGACGTGACATTTGTGACTCTCATCTCGGATGGATTTCAGAGTCGTGCTTAATCCCGTCTTGCTCCTGTATGCACAGCGGAGGTGGAATGTAACAGAGTGTATTTACTCAAAATACCGTCTTTCACTGCAAGTTTCACTTTGCACCATTTGCTACTTTACTCCCTTTCACAGGCAAATATGGAATATCTTCTGCATTTGTCCTGCGGTTTTGGTTACTTAATCAGATTATTAATACGGCACATTAATACTCATCTGCTGCTGATCATGATACATTAAAATTAAATACTCCTTTAACAGCTTTACAGCTTGACTCATTGAACCAATTAACACAAAATCCTGATCTACTAGTAACAAATAGGAGAAAACGAGGTCTTCAGCTTCTTCTCTTCGCATACATGATGCTTCAGACGCCTGTACTTCCTCGCGTTCCTCCGGCGCTCCTACCGTTGGAAAACCAACCTCTTGCGCTAATCACACAAGTGCCAGTGTGAATTGATCCGAACTCCACCGATGAAGGAATCAATCAGCGGACAAAAGCCCGCCAGCCTGAGAGCGTTCGTGTATAAAGAGGCTTTGCTCTCTGCCTCCCTCTTGGGCCTCGTTTGCCACGGACGTCCTCCGCTGGAGCGTTTCTCCCTCGGACTGCTTCCAGATAATAATAATCTCAGGGCCGCCGCGTCCAATCGGCCGCTTACGTCTCCGTCGGCGGGACGTGGTGAGAGCTCGCCGCTGGATTACCGGCGCCCAATCCGCTCGCTGAGACGGGGGCGGATTTCTGCTTTGGTGAAAGAATTCACATCGTAGACGAGCTCGGATGAAATAAAGACTTGGTTGCATATGTGTATATAGATTTTTTTTTTTTATATGGCCTTATTCGGCGTGTTTTCGGTGTTTGCCTAAACACTTTTGATCAGCGAATGGAGGTCAGCTCCTCGTCTCATTGGCGTTGGCGAGGTGTTGGTTGAGCAGCGGCAGACAGATTCACGACTTCTTCTCTCTCTTTGGCCCGTTAACCGTCGGCCGGTGCATTTGCACGACCTGGCGCCCGGAGGTCAGATTTGATGTGAATTGGATCAAGACCTCTGCACTTTTCGGGGTTTTACCCTTTTTTAAAACCGCTGAACAAGAGACGGCTTCTTCTTTCACTTTGACTGTAAGACGGAGGTGTGGGATGAGCTCGGAGAAGATAAAGCAAGAAGACGGGTGGGTTGTTTCGGGTGTGAAGAATTCATGCGGGATAATCCCGCCAGCCGGTCGCACGAGAGGGAAACCGGGGGTCCTAATTGGTGCGTCGCAGACGGCATGGGCGGACGTACAGGAAGTGTATAATCCGTTGCCGTGGGCGACGCCTACAGGTGTCGGGACAATGAGCAACGATGAGCCGAGCAGAAACCCCCCCCCGAGGCAGCAAGAACCATTTAAAAGTGTTTCCTCACGTTCGGCGTTTTCCTGCATTAATGGCGTCCGATCAAGCTGCTTTGATTGTAATTGGCGAGACACAAGAGGCGAAGACGTTTTCTCCATAACGCGACGTCTTTCAGACCTCCAAAATAACACTAAAGACTATTTGCATGTAGATCCTCCAAAAGAATGAATAATAAATGAATGTCTTTAATGGGGATATCCATTTGTTTTATTCAGTACATCATTTTACAAAACACATCCTTAAAGGCTGTTCAACCAATCAGCCCGCGCGCCAGAAATCTCCACTTCATTACTTTATTCCTCTTCATACACAGTGGCATTTATTCCTATATTATTCATAGCCTGATTAGCCATGAATATTTTTTAATAAAATGTCTAATCTATATGTCAACGTCAATGTATGTTAATTTGCTCATATTTAATAAGATAGTGACTCATTTGCATAGTTAAAGAATTGTAACTTAAAAAATAATTTCTGTGATGTAATGAACCTGGGAGGGTTTCTTGGTTCATATCTATTAAAAATAAAATTCACCATATATTCACCACATCTTCTAATAACCTTCAGCTGCCACCGGAGCCGTCGAGTCCAGACCTTTCCAGATCTTTCCATTGCATCTACTGCAAAAGCAACGTATGGACGTCGTAGCAACCGCCACCGACATCGACACCGACGCATGTTGGGTTCGTAGCTCCTCGTGCGACGCCTTGGGGCCTCAATGTGGTTCACAGAATCACATCATCCAAATCAGAAGGGAACCGTTGAAACATTTATCACATTAATGCCTCATCTAGGGAATAATAACCCTGACGGAATTACACAGGTACCAACGTGTTGCTCAGCAGCATTAGTCTCATTCTTTCAACTGCCAGCGGCTGCTGTAATATTAACGACCAGCACGCCGAGCTTTGATTGGTCGGTTCTTTGATTTGATTTGAAGTGGTGCTTCTGTGGAAAAACCTCCACGGATAAATCAAAAGGTCGATCGACAGAACCGCTTCAGTCCTCCAAAGAATGTGTTTGTTTGACGATGTGACAAAAGCGGGCACCGCTAACGTTGAGTTAGCACACATTTTCTTATTTATTTTTGCCATGGCAACCGGCTCTCCAACAACGTTGTTCTTATTTTGCATTTAAATCCTCAATGACGCAAAAGATCCCACGAAGCCGAAGCTTCGTTAGCATTCCGGCTTCATTAGCATTCTGACTTCGTTAGCATTCTGACTTTGTTAGCATTCCGACTTCTGTAGCATCGTGGCTTCGTTAGCATTCTGAATTCATTAGCATTCTGACTAGCATTTGCATTTGTACAAGTTAGACACATTTGTAGGTTTGTAGTAGGAAACCTACAAAGTAGTAGTACTTGTTGCAGTGGAGTTTATAGTACCGTCACTAATAGAAACAATGTTCTCTTGTTTAATACTTATTTTACTGTCAACTGTGACATGATAATAAATAGTGTATTGATGATTAGTAATGCCATCATTTTATAGATGGTTAACAAACTAATGACCCATAAACATTGTGTTAAACTAGCTTACCTAATATTGTTAATGAAGGTGGATGTCATCAAAAAAAGCAAAAACGCTATCCTGGCCGTTTGTGCAGCGCTAAAGATGGTTAGTACGACGTGCTGTCTGCTGTGCGAGTTTGTGATCACTTGTATTTGGACGAGCCGTACTTCGCGCTTTGTTTGCGCATCATCTTGTTAGCAGAAGAGCTTTAACCCCTTTTTCAAATGTCCGACCCGAAACTACGGGCACGAGCGGCCCGTCATTGCAGGAAGTCATGCGGCGGCAGGTTAGCAATCACAAAGCAATTCCCTTCCGATGTGGCACTAACGACCAGGAGCCGTCTCCGCCGGCGCTGCCGGGGAACCGAACCGAAGATTGCAGACAGATTTGTACGCTGCCGAAAAAAACATGAACAAGGTCACGGCGAAAAAGAACCCAACAGGTAATTAGGACGTAGAATTCATCCGGACTAAACGGCTGGATGCGTCATGTCTCTAATGCAGGTGTTTCTGGTGTGAGTCCATCCGGATGAATGCAATAGTTTTCATTTCCCCCGGAGGACAGAGAGGACTTCCGCTCGCAGCTCTGAATCATCTGGATGTGTGACCTCGCTAGCGGGTTCAGCGCTGAAAGGGTTTGCATGGGGTTTGATAAGCGTCAGTGTTTGGAGACGGCCGTTCGCCTCTCTGACTCACCGTCCGGCTGTCGCGTTGCAGGCCGGGATGATCCGCACCGACGCAGACGAGTACTTCATCGAGCCGCTGGAGAGAGGCACCCAGGAGCTGGAGCACCAGGGCCGGGTCCACGTGGTCTACCGGCGCTCCGCCCTGCTGCAGCCCCCCGCCGACCCGCCCGGCGACGACGACGACCTGCCACCAGGTAGGCCCGTTACTGCTCCCGTTGCCATGAGCACGATGGCACTATGTTCTGTACCTGCGTAGCTGTGTCCTGGTTTCACTCCATTCGTTTTTGTTAAAGTCATTAGTGCTTAATTAAAGCCACCTGCCTTCGCAAACCATGAACAAAACAAAAAGAAATTAACACAGTTTGGTCTGGAAATAAATGCACGTGTAATAAGTAAATCCCATGAGAGCGGTTAAACCCACATACACTTTGCTAAAAGGGGTGTGACCACCCGTGTGGGCCGCACACTGCACTACAACAAGCGCACCTTTTCTTCCGTCCCCACATGAAATACGACAAACCTCCCGGTAGCGTCTCAAACACCCTCTAGAAGCACCTAATGTGTGAGGGAAGCCGGCAGGCTTTCATGCAAAGAAGGTGGTATTTTTTGGTCATTATTTTCAGGAAGTGAAGGGTATATTAGTCTGGTCCCTCATCGGCCTTATGCAACACGGCACACAATTATTGACAGATTTAGAATGTATTTTTGGCGTTGAAAGTAATTGGGACATCGTCTTCCTGTGCCAGAGGCAGAATTACAGTTCATACAGACCTACAAATTGCCAGAAAACATGATTTAACAAAAAAAACAACTCAAAGCCGCTATTCCATAAAAACATTAGCGGCTCCTCACTGTGACCGGACGTCATAAACCCACGGCAGTCACAGCTAACGAACACTCATCCTGTCCCGCTGGTTCCAAAGAGTTGAGTTAACGTGACATCTTTGCTGAGTTAGAACCTCACAGCACGTGAAATACTAACCTCTTGGACCGGATCATGTGGGGATTTGCTTCACGCAATAACGCTGACGGATCGCCGTTGCGTCGCAGGAGCAAGCGAGGACGCGAGACGTTGGCTCGGCTTTGAGCCGGGGATGCACTTCATTTGACAAACTGTCACGTGACCCCCCGTGACCCTCGGCCCTCGCATCGCCGTGCACGTGCGTGGGGGAACGCTGTTTTTGCATGGTGACCTTCGGTGTTTTCTGCAGAAGTGGCATTATTACCAATGATAACAGCTTCGGCTGCTTGCTCTAAATACCCAGCGTGCCCTACATATCTAAACCAAACAAATGACGCTACGTAAAGCAACATGTCAAGCGTCACGTCGACTGTGAAGGACATCCGTTCCAATTAGGAACTTCCCCTTGTGTTCAGGAGCTTCCGCGGGTCGCTCCTCATGTTTTATGGAGCATAAGGAGTAGTGGGAGAATGTATATATTCATGTTTACAGCTAAGTGTGGCGTTTCCTTTTAAACATCCTCCGCCCCGGGAAGAGATTTGCATGATTGCTGTCGTGCAGACAAAACAGTGCATCCGCAGAGCTCTCAGTCAATCAGCCTCTCAATTCATCGTTCAGAAACCACGTGCTGGTTTCTCGTCTTTGTGCCGGCAGCTGGAGCTCTTTGGTCAACGGCGGAAATAAAGACAAAAATAGACCGTCGCAAGCAGCAGGCGACAATCTCGCCGACCTGAGGATGAAATCTCATTTCTATCATTGACTGGAAACAGAATTCGTGGTGGAAGCCGCCCTGACAGCTCGAGATCCCTGTATCAAAATAAATGTGCGCGCGTTGTACAGCGATAAACGCCGCGCTCGTGTACTGAGGTGGTCCGTAAAAGAGTATTTGTTTTCACTCTTTCACGGCATCAAGGTCCCCTGTCGGGGCAAATTTATGTTCTTCCGCTGCTACATTTAAAGAGTCCACCCGCCGCCCGACGGGGGTTTAGAGCTGCTGCACAGGGATGCTCACACCTGTACATATATATATATGTATATATATATATAAAGTACAGGTGTGAACAGAACATACCTGCAGCCGCTGGTAGAGCCCCTTTAAGGGCTTAAATAAAATCAAGGGGAAAAAATATCTATAAATGCAAAATTATGAAATAAATCAATCATTAAATCTTTTTTTCAAAATAGAAGGGTTATTTCATTTGATTCATTTGTAGATCTACGTAATGAACATGGGAATTCTCTGCAAGTCAGTACTGCATGAAGGTCGACGGTCCGCTTCCAAGTCCTGCATCTCACAGGTTTCCACAGCTGCGTAATGCAGATGTTTCCTGACCTATGCTTGTCTAATAAAGCCTTTCACTTGTGACAAATACAAGCTATGTCATCCTGCATGCACTAACGTGTTTTTTTCAATTAGCGAATGATCATTTTGATGCTAATTTCTTCTACCGTGTTCATCTGTTAATTGCCTCCTAACTCAGGCGGGGGAGACGGATGAGGGAGCATTTGACCCTGATTGCTAGTGTGACATTAATCAAACAGCAGGAGGTGGAGGAGATACCACGAGATCTCCGGGGTCCGATGGAGTCTGTTTCTCAGAAACCAGGCACACATTTCTAGAGAGGTAGACGGGGCGAGGTGTCGGGGATGGACTAATTGAATAATACATGGTTGGATACTACATTTATCCCGCATATTAAAAACGAAATGAAACTGGCAACCCATTCTTGGGTTGGACATCCTGTTACTATTTTATTGCGATGCTTGCACGACGGCGCTCCTCTCCTGTGTCCCGGTTTCCGGTGTTGATCAAATGTCATGGCTCATATCAATCGGTGGTCAAGTATGGAAGGTAACGTTGTGTGAGCGAAGGCCTCCAGGGAGTCATTCGTCTTCTCCGTAACGAGCACAGCCGCGATGCGTCTCAGCTCCCCGAGCAGCTCGCTGGGGGAAATTGCACGAGCAGGTGTCCGGTTTGTTATTCTGTCGGCTTGACGGCTCCTGAAAACAGTTTTCAATCTTTTGTACATCTCTGAAAAGATCCGGATTTTCTTTGGTTCTTCATGACATTTCATGTAGTTGAATGTACATTTAAAAACCCATTTGCACAGACTGCATCTTGGGTTTTGCTTTTATTTGGATATTGTTGCATTCACTGCCGGATACCCAATGGCTTCCGAGGACTTACGCAGCGTTGCTTTTGCTGCAGGCGGTGAGAACAAGTCAACATCCATTTTTTAAGGGGCTTCACAGGCACACGGTGTGCGAGTATCCACACTTTAACCACGTTTCTGATCAAACTAGAGATATCCAATTTTTTATCTGAATTACCTGAAAACCCTTTTCCCCCGATTGTATTAAAAATACAATCAGTTCATTTGAAATGAAGGGAAATCATTGGAGATTAACGACGACGTAAAAGAATCACGTAATCATCTCCGAAATGCATCACGGGAAATATTCACAAGATAATTCCTCTCTGCCGGCCAATGAACCATCAGACATGTATTATGGATCCTCGTGCTCAAGAAGCATGTCACGTAACACGCGTGATTACTGAGCAGGTCCTTTCTTAAATGGATGCAGGGATTTGCTCCCACAGGAGCGCTAATGAGGTTCAGCCCTGATAATAAGTGAGGATGGATGAAGTTGACTTTAGACGGGCTTATTTTAAGAAGATGTGTTAAGTTTCACCTCATTTAAGGATTTCTCGTCCCTGTTTGTTCCAAAGATGCACTTTCGAACTCGATAATCTCGACCTTCTCGTAGCTGTTCGGCTGTCCGGTGTTGTGGAATTTGACGGACATTGAAACTCAAACACCGGTGACCTTTGACCCAGTGTGTCTTTGCAATCTATTGCCCGGAGGTGGGGGGGGGGCGGGGGTGGTCAGCTGGTTTGACGACATGGCCTCGACTGTGGGAATCAGGCTCGTGGGTAAATAACGCTCAACGCCTTTGCTTAATTTCTCAGTTTAAACAGTTTTTGGAGAAACGGAGATTCCGCCGTCGTCCCTGCAAGTAAAACAGCCGTGAGCATTTTCTGTTTTCCTATCAAACAAATTTCTGTGATATGAGCTGCCAGAGAAAGCAAACGGGGAGCGAGAGGATTACACAGCCTAAAGGTGCTTATAGTCATACGGCACGTTGTTTCTTTACCGAGCTCTGCTGCATCAACAGCGTGATTATAGGGGGGGGGATTTTATATTAAAGAACTCAAGATAAGGAATAGATCATAAAACCTGTCAGAAGGCACTCTTTTTGTTAACATTCTGCTATTTTCTAAAAGGTTTCTATAGCAATAAAACTCCAATAAGTGTTGATCCCAGACGGGAAAAGCTGTGAGGTTTAAAGTTGGCCTGTTAGTTGTAGCTGTTTGAGTCGACAGGTTTCTGATACGGTCTATAAGTATATCTGTACATAAGTGGATGAGATGGTCTACACGAAGCACGTGGAAGTACTGACAACATCAAACCAATGTATTCACCGTGCACTTCACGCTCCACACGAACCGTCGACAGTGTTGCACGTCTTGCATATTTCACGGACTGGCGATGCTCAGACAGACGCTCGATGTTCCTGATTCATATTTCACGGTCGAGTTAATGAAGTCGTTGAGCCAAACGTGAGCCACGGATATATGAACACGTTACGTCCTCCCTACAGGTCAGCGCGGGATGAGTTTCACTGTTGTGTGGCCAGCCAGTTTCAGCTGTAGTTTGAGGAGATTCAAAGCTCTGCTCCTGGGACACAGGGGGCGGGGCCACCAAGAAGGAGGCGGAGCTGCGGCAGAAGAGGCGGAGCTCCTTGTCCATCCACGGCAGATTATCTTTTACGTTGCGTCTTAAGTCTTCTTCTCTTTGATTTCCAACTGGATTTTTTGGTATTTATACACAAAGGACGGCAGATATCTGATACCTCCAGAAGGTGTGAGTTGCGCGTGTAAACATGCATGGATTTATGGACTGAAGTGCTAAAACAGAGAATATATGCAATTCAATAAAAACAGGGAAAACACTTTCTGCTTATAATAATAATAATGACATAAATATAGATAATAGATAAGACACAAAAGTGTGCTCGCATTAATACAACTGACTTCTCATAAAGATCATGTGATAATGATGCTTGCGGCCGGTTGTCCGCTCAACAAAGGAAATTGTCGTTTGCATCAATGTCAAGAGCCAAGACTCGCTCCAACTGGAGAGATGCTCACGGACACAAAACGAGTTTTCT